CTGAGATTCTCGAAGTGGCATGTCAATCTATAATCGGAGCCTGAAGCTTTAAAGCTATATCGATCATTTGATAAGTTGAGCTCCAGCGGACTGGCATATCAAGTGTTAACTGACGGACTTGAATACCTATAGCTTTACACTGACTCTTCAAGGCATCTTTCCACCCACGGCAGTTCCGAAACACATATATATGATGCCGTAGCTTTGCAAGAACAGTTATAATTTCGTATTCAGCAGCAGTTGATATTCCAGTTGGTATTCGTGCAGCCCCAACCTCAAGCTGGTATGCCTCTACCCTTTCGTCAGGCGTTGCCTTTAAGGAAGCTAAAGCAGCTTGAACAGCAATGTTGATAATATGCCCAATACAGCGTACGTCTCCTGCTTTTGCTGTAAAAGCCCATGGTTGTTTCAAGGAAGTAGGGGCTATCGATGCCAGTCTCTCATACTCTAATAGCATTGTTGTATTCGATGACGCATTATCTCTTGTAACTGTGAAGATAGCAGGCGTGATATTATAATCATCTGTTACACTCATCATCTGTTCAGCAAGGTATTCACCAGAGTGGATCGGCTCTTGAAGGTGTATAACGTCAAGTATCGTAGTTCTCATTTGCCAATTGTCATTTATCCAGTATACAGTAACTGCTGCGTATTCAGAGTAGTTCCGAGCAGACCAAGTATCAGTTGTTATGGATAGTCGTCCACCATTTATAACATGCTGCTGTAGCTCTACTTGAAGCCGTGCTTTATGATAGCAGAATAGACGATATAGATCCCGTTCGATTGTAGTTCTACCTACTGTTAAAACAGTAGGGTTTAGATGATGAACTAATTGCCGGAATGAGTGGCTTTTCACAAGGCGTAGCGGTAGGTTATTTGATACCACAAAAGAGAGTATAAGCTCTCTATATTTCGACGACCTTGGTGCGTTATTAGGTGCTTGGCGGGGCTGGAAAAAAGCAGAAGTAGAAGTAGAAGCAGAAGCAGAAGCAGAAGTAGACGGCATTGACGAGCTTCTAATTGAGGAGGATAGCTTCTCGTATTCTGTATACACAGATGGGTGCATCTTTTTAAGATGCTTCCAAAGATTACTCGTTGTCTGGCTCTTTAGTGGCTGGCTCGGCATATAGTTACAATCGGTTTGAAGGCATTGGTATTGGACTCTAGCAGGTATTGTATCTAATAAAGTACGGTAGAATAGCCCTTTTAAAAAGAGGATTGACGTAGACTCAGGTAATTGAAGTCTTAGAGGCATATGCGGCATCAGCATCGGAATAAGGGGCAGCAGCTCTAAAGCATCAGACTGATACTCAGTCGGCACCAGCGATAGCGAAGAGTCACTCATTGTAGGAAGCAATACAGAACGCTCAAGTGGAAGAAAGCTCCAATTATCTATTCTATTCTACGATCTATATTACCCCTCTTTGCCAAGGGCTTGGCAGTACTCAGAGTACTCGGAGTAGTACTCGGGGACTCACCGAGTACTCAAAAATATTACCCGAGTACAGTAGTACTCGGGTACTCGGCGAGTACTACTCACGGCAAGTACTACTCGGGCAACACTGCTAATATTTATTATATAGTACTCTTTGTTTAAGACATCAAATACAATGCTAAGGACTACCGACTACGATTAATGGCCATATCATCAACTTATCAGCACAAGCATTCTTATTTCTGTTATGATTATAGCTTACAGCTTGTTACGGTTGGTACGGGTGCAGCCTTAGCCACCAAGGCCACAACCGCTAAGCGGACAACTGTATATTACAAGGAATAGCCTACCTTCCTTCCTTCTTCTTCTTCTTCTCTCTTTAGATTCAATCTAGCATATTATTCTCCGGACTGGCTTCTTGACTCCGTGACCATCATAACATAAGATTGAATCTCACCCTTCTTTTGCTCTCTGAGCCTGAACCTTGATACTGAAATTCGAATTCCCTTCTTTGGAAACCCTACAACCATATCCTAAAGTCGATTCCAGAACACACCAGAACACCACAGAACACCACAGAACACCACAGAACACCACAGAACACCACAGAACACCACAGAATACCACAGACTCCATAGATCAGGCCTTTCACAATGCTCCCTCGACAAAGAATATAGCTGTGAGGGAAGTGCGCTCCTCTCGAGTGGCTCCTACAGTCGACAAACTGCGCAATAGGGCCTTTGGCGATACGAGTCTGATCTACTGAATACGAAAACTGAAAGAATAGCAAAGCTGCTATGGCACACATGGCCAAAGAAAAAGCCAAGATGGCTGACCAAAACCCAAAACCCAGAAGACTATGAGTCTATAAATGAGAAAACAACCTTAGCAGATGAGTCTGAGAAGAGAGATAAACTTCAGAAGCAGAAAGGAGCTAAGGTTTTTGCAGTATCATTTAAAGATATACTCGCTGAAGAAGCAAAGGAGGAAACGAAAGAAATCGACCCAAAACTGATCCTCCCAAAGGAGTTCCATAAATATCTCGATGTGTTCTCAAAACAGGCTGCAGACAAGCTCCCGCCTCACAGATATGCAGACCATCACATTGTGTTAGAAGGGAACTCGAAACTAGGGCATGCACCACTCTATAACATGTCTCAAGAAGAGCTTGATCTTGTAAGAAATATGTGGAGGACAATCTTACCAAAGGATTCATCGAAGCTAGCAAAGCACCATTTGCCTCACCTGTGTTATTTGTATGCAAACCAGGAGGTGGACTTCGATTTGCGTAGACTATCGCAAACTAAATGTGATCACAAGGAAAGACTCATACCCACTTCCCATCATTGATGAAACATTGGCTCAAATCACGGGTGCCAAATATCTTACAAAGATTGATATTAGACATGCCTTTAATCGAATTCGTATTCAGACAGAGGAGGATGAAGATCTGATAACATTCAAAATCAAAACTCAATTTGGATCATACAAATACAAAGTTCTCCCAATTGGACTTACGAATGGCCCGGCAACATTCCAACGATATATGAATGAAACATTAATGGAATACATAAACAAATTCATCACTGCATACATGGATGATCTCTTGTCTATAGCACAAGTAAGGAGGAACATGTTAAGCATGTCAAAATGGTTCTGCAAAAGCTTCGAGAAGCAGGACTACAAGCAGATATAGAAAAATGCGATTCTTCGTTCAAGAGACAAAATTCTTAGGACTCATCATTGGAGTTAATGGAATTCGCATGGATCCTGGAAAGGTGAACACTATACTCGATTGGAAAGAACCAAAATCATTACGGTGACACGCAAGCTTTTATCGGATTCTGTGTGTTCTATCGAAGGTTTATCAACAACTATTTAAATATCATGAAACCACTTGTCAACTTAACGAAAAAAGACCATGTCTTCGAATGGACAGAAGTGTAAGGACACAGGGCACCCAGCTCACAGTAATAGCATATGGCCAAATGGAGGCTATCCTATAGGTCTACTACGAAGGATACAAAAAAGATGAAGGAGGAACCCTGCGAGTCAATTCCCTCAAGTACCCGAAACCCATCCGACTCGGTTAGCCCACCCAAATGATCACACGTGACCAGGGGGAACCTCGTGAGTCAATTCCCTCAAGTACCCTAAACCCATCCGACTCGGTTAGCCTGCCCAAATGATCACACGTGACCTGCAGCTACTCAGAGTCTCCTTAGAGTGAGAGACAAGAAGGCATCCTTACACTACCCCCCTTCTAAGAGGGTGCTTTGTCCGCAAAGCACGCCATCAGGGTCCTTTCCGTAACCTCTCCATTTGTAAAATGTGTCAGGAAGGTGCTTGTGTGCGGAGGTGGGTGTTCGTGAATGGTACCGTAACACCACCTCGTGGAATGTGACACTGGAGTTGGCTTCGTTTCATCTCACTTCATCTTCGTGGTCTCAATGGGCACCGGGAGGTATCCGCTAAGCGTTTGAGTCAAACCTTAGTAAACGTGAAAGGGGCAGTGGTCGCGCTAGCCCAATTCAGAATTTATTGTTGTAAGCCAACATTTTTTTCTCTTGTTTGTTTCCTTACAACAACAACACCAGCGAACGCCAATCCGAGACTGGTAAGTGGCCCCCTCCGTTCATATATCTGTATACTAATTGATTGTTTAGAATATACAATTCCACACGAACAAGTAGGTGACGGGAACGCGCTCGGCGCGCGGGTGATAATGTGGGCTGGGCTGACGGGATAATAGATCCCAACTTGAAGATGCCGGTCCCGCCTCCTGCCAGAGTCTTGTCAGTCGCTTTCCACATCCTCTGTCTGCGTTGCCTTCAGGCCAAAGCTCAGGGAGTCCAGGCGCATGCCTGCATCTGGTCTCCCTTGTCGTCGAAGTGTGAGTACTGCACTGGCCAGCACTCTCCCTGCATCTCGGTGCATTTCCTTGTGGTGTTCAGTTGGTTGGTTGTAGCTGACCATCGGTGGATAGCTGTCCTGGTTCCTCGATGAGGAGTACTGCGCCCTCTTGCCGCCGAAGCGGCCATCCCTGTCGTCACGGCCAATGTCGTGGCTGCTGCCGCGGAGGCAAATCGGGTGGCCCTTGTGGCCACCCAGAGCGTTCCCAAGTTCCACTCCACAGCAGAGCATGACTCCTACGAGGAGGCTCACGCCACGCGCGCTGCCATCGAGGCGGGGTTCTCTAATGCTGACTTCTAAATGATAGAAGACACAGAGGTTTCTTGCGTAAGGTTGACTTGACAGAGGAGGCAGGGGATTAGACACAAAGGCTTTCCAAGTAACACGTTACAGTATTGTAAAGAATACTATATTGAGTTGAGCATGAAGCTCCTATCTAAGGAAATACTATCTACTTATATAGTGGCATCGTACCTCATGGGTAATCTGGATAGTTGGCGGATAGCTAGATATTCAGGATAGTTCGTGGATAGCTCAACTATCCAATATCCACTAGTTTCTGCAACTATCCATTAGCCCTGTCACATGGCAGCCTACCCCGCTTGCCCCCTGTGACTGACACGTCACGTTACTAGGCCCTGGCCCTGTAACCATGACGTCATGTTACTGTAGCCGTAACAGGTTCGCCGTGAGTATACCCCTTCCCCTGTGTTGTTTCGGTGCTGACATGGTTTAGCAAATCCGGTCGACTCTGCGCCGTCTTCGGATGGAGCAGGAGAGTGTGCCAGTGCTCTTGGAGGAAGTGGTGGCTGCCGTGGGCAAGCTGCTTGCGGTCACCGTCGCAGCTGCAAAGGTTCCAGTCTGCTCTGGTTGGAGGAAGGAGGGGGAGGGAGAGGGGGAGGGAACCTTTGGTGCAGAGTATGGGGAGTAAGGGGGGGGTGTGGGGGTGGGGATCCTGTGTCGGAGGGGACTCGGGCCTGGCTCTTCATGTGGGGTCGCTTCGACCCTTTGTCTCTCATGGTGGTAGCCATCTGTTGCGACGCCGGTGATGCGTTTTGGAATGGTGGCTCCCGCAAGGGTTGCGGTGGTGTGCACCCTGGCGAGGGTAATTAGCTTAGGGTCCTAGGTAGCAACGACTCTGTTTTTCCTGCTTTGTCGTCCCTCCCGTGATCGTAGTTTTGTTCCTCGCCCGCCTCCCATGCCGTAACCCATCCGAATAGTTCTCGAGGTGGACCTGGTAAATCTGGGTATTCCGTGTGAAACTCTCTGAGTTTATGGGGAGAGTTCATGAAGTTAGACGCTGGGTACCACTCCAGGTCCGGATCATATCCTACCCAACTAACCCGGTATTGAAGTTGCTTTCCTCAGAATCTCACGGCAAGGATCTTTTCTACTTCCCATTCTTCCAAGCCATCTATAACTTTGCTGCTAGGCTCAGGCAGCTCTTGACCCAGTAGTTATTCGGGGCCTTGATGAGAACGTCTGGTGAGAACATGTTATGTATTTGAGAACCGGTAGGTAGGTCTAGACGAAAAGCGTGTCCAACTCGCTCTACCACCGTATATGGTCCGACCCATTGTTGGCCCAACTTGTAGCTAGGGCAAGAGTTCTTCAAATTTTTGGTTGAGAGGTACACTCTATCTCCTACGTCCCAGTCAATGGCCCTTCAGTGTCGATTCACATGCTTAGACATTTCCTCTTGTGCCTTTGACATGTTTTCCTTTGCATGGACCCATGCGGTATGCATTCTGTCTGCAACCGCCTTGGCTTCATCCCAGTTTAGGGTCTCCCGGGGGTTGGTGCTTTTCGGGGTGTTCCAATCCCAACTCGTATGCGGATCGGTTCCGTACTTGAGTCGGTAGGGGGTCATGCCAATGGAGGCGTGGGGGAGTGTCATTTGCAGGTGGTCCATTATGGGGATGAGTTCGCTCCAGTTATCCTGGTAATGGGATATGAAAGGTCTCAGTCTCTGATTGATGTATCAGTTTATGATTTCCCTCTGACCATCGGTCTGCTTATGATAGGCAGTCGACAGCTTAACCTTAATGCCGATCATTCGACAGAACTCCTGCCAAAAGGATGAAACGAATTGGGGTCCATGGTCGCTTACAATCGACTCCGGAGTGTGTCCGAATCGGTATATCTATTCGATGAACAGATGTGCCATTTGCCAGGCAGTTGTGGTTTTGTAGCAAGGTATGGTCACCGAACTCTTTCCGAGTCGGTCCATAAACACTAAGATGCTGTCGTATCCGTGCTTGTCCCTTGGGAACTCCTTGAAGTCCATGGTGAGGTGTTGCATAGGATATTCAGGTAGCGAGAAAGGCCAAGCCGTCGAGGATCTGCCGTGCTCCTTGTCAGCATGTGTCCTACGCGGTAGCTGGATGTGCCTCACCTGTATGAGAATAGCTGCTAGTTGCCCTTCCGTAGGATATTTAGCACACTCTACGATCTGGTCGAGGGAGATTGGCATGTGCTCGAGGACAATGAAGAACGAAGTCTCAGTAGTGAAGGCGTCAAGAGCCTCGACAATGTTGGCATGTCGGACGCGTCCATGCATATAAAGCGTCTTCTCGGCAGCTGAAACGGGGAATGCCCTCACAGCTACGAGTCCAGAGTGTCTCGCCTTTCGTTGTGCCACTGTAACAGAACCGTTAAAGTCGAGATCGAGAACTTTCTCGTAGATTTCCCATGGTGATTCTTTTCTTGCTATGATGTTCGTAGATGAGCTGGGTTTAGATTCACTTATTCTGGGCAGCTTAGATATCTTGACACTGCTTGCATGATATGTATCATCCTTCGGAGAGCGAGATCTTTTCGAGATCAGCGTTTTACTGGCGCTCTCCGGAGTGTCGCCCACTAGGGAACTTGACAGTGCAGGTGGCACAGCGGAAGCTTCAGGATGCTGAGTAGACAGCTGAGCTGAGGCCATTAACATGTCGATTTTCGTGTGACGATTACCTGAACTCATACTGAAGCAACGTGAGCAGTAGGCAGGGTAGGGAGCACAATAGTCTAGAGAACAAGGACTTGAGAGGGACAGAAGACAGACGAGAGATAGAAGATGGACGAGGATAGAATGCCACAGACGAACGGGGATTATACTAACCCATTCGGGGGAAGGTGAAAATGGCTCAGTGCGTAGGGCAGCACGATCTGGATGGTCTGAACGCGCAACTGACCGAAACCTCCACCCTGCTTTCCATTCCTCCCTCCTAGCTCCCTCTGCTCAAAGATCTCCCTTCATCATCAAGGCCATCCTGCATTGCGAGCAAATACAAGATGCTGCCTTCGAGATTCGCATGTCGCGAAGAGAGGCTGGCGACAGAGGGCCGGCTCAAGTACAGAGGCACAGCGCGCGTAGGGCTCGAGGTCCTACACTTCACATGGAACGAGCCAAGGGAGCCAAACCAAAAAAGCCTCAACAAGCTGAAGAAATGCTTTGAAAAAGGGCAGTGTGACCGAGTGACGCGGAACCATATCCCAGTTGTCATTGATCAGTCCCAGCTGGACGATGTCCTCCACGCTTCACAGGTCTCGGCTGAGAGGCTGCTGACTAATGCCGACCCTCATCCGGAGCTCAGATTTCCATCAGGATCCCAACTCCGCTGCCTCCATGGGCGACACCGAGTTCTGGCAGCGCGAGAGGTCCTACCTCCGCAGGAGAGATGGTGGACGGTGGATATTTACCTCGCAGGTATGCACTTGTCGTATGAGCGATTTGGCCGTTGCTGACAAGTCCTTACAGATATCGACGAGGAGCTTAAGAAGGCCTTGATCGAGGAGCACTCAAATGAGCAGCCGCCGTCAGATGGCGAGATCTATTGTAAGATCCGAAAATATCAGCGAAAGCGGGATCGGTACTCGGAAATGCGATGGTGGGCTCGCCTGTCGGACCATGGGACGAGGTGTCTCGAGCAGCTCTTCCGTCATGGCGATTTTAAGGCCGCCTTCGACGATCTGTTGGATATTCCCGGTCTCTGGGGCGGGATGCGAATTAGTACGTTGAATAGGATGATTAGCTGAGATGTGACGACGTGAGTCTGCCGTGATTGGCATATCTAGCTTGCTCATCACTGAAACCTATTGAAACAGGAGATCTTGTCTTATCTCACGCACATTAAGGATGTTTGGTCCCAGCTCCTCCGTCACAACAAAGAAGCGATGCTTATGGTAGACCAAGCCACGGTAAAGGTCGTGGAGCTCATGGCCCCCAAATCATCGAAGCGGGACGCCCAGCTGCTACATGGCCAATTAGTGAGCGGACAGATATTTTCCGGCTTTAACCTGGAGGGCCGTGAGACCATCTGGAGTAATTTGCGTATCATTAGCGGCCTGATACCATCCCTCTACACCTTCTTCGAGGATCTCAAGTATCTGGAAGCATGTGCAGGCAGCATGAGACACTTGGTTATGCCGTCTCCAAAACACACGATGCGCAGCGCCTTGAACAATATTTTTTTTGGAACGAACCAACTCGTCATCCAGGAGGCCCACTCCACATATTCTACACAGTTGGGGAAGTGCTCGAAGAATTGGCACTTTACGTATCCCCAGTTATGGTTGTTCACTATGCGGGACTATCCTGGTTTGCCTGCTCCTCGGGAGGTGAAGACGAAGAAGAAGAAGAAGCTTCTAGCGAAGGCTAGGACGCCAAATGCCAATGAAGTTAAACTGTCTGACTTTGCAGTTCTTGCTGACAGGCTACGGTTTAAAAGCGATGAGATATCGGCGTTAATGCGACGGTCCTCAGACAGAGAGATTGCGCGTGATGCATTACTAAGAGCGCGAGATCAGGATCACTATGATTACAATGATGGAGACATTGACTCTCATGTCGAACAAATCTTGGGATTGTTTGCAACCGCCAGACCTCGCAATACTGATCAGTCATCTCCCGCTCTCGTCAGTGACGGTCCGGACGCGGCGGGGGCCCGATGTGGGTTTCCCGACGAGGAGGCGCATGCGAGAGATAGAAAGTTTCTCTATATAAGCAACCTCCACGCAGACCAAGACGAGCAAGGCGAGAGCATCACGTCATTTTTCGTGCGCAGGTCTGTATACTTTGCATTCTTTGGTAGGTTGGAGGAGACAAGCACACCCCGTTCTAACCCTGCACCACCACCCAATTCTGGGGCGGACCAGGCGGCAGCACCAGAGGCAGGTCTCGACACAGAGCAGGAGGGGCTCAGACAGAACAGAGTCGAGGAGGAGAGGCTTGACCGAGAACGGTCTGAACTGGCCCCGCTGGAACAGGAGAGGCAGGTATCAGAGGTGAATGGTGATAGCAACGACTCATTCCAAGTACCAGAGAGGGATCAGAGGCGGAACACACAAATTGACCTTGAGGGAATCATTGCAGGTGGACTCGCCAGCACCCTTGAAGATACCGTGGACCCACCAGATCGCCCTGGAGAGCAGGACCCGAACAGTCAACTGCAGGTAGTAGCCCCTTCCCCTTCCGAGGTCCGCATTGAGTTTAAAATTCTGGAGGGAGAGGTATGGAAGACGGATCGAAGTCTTCTGGTGAACCCTTTTGAACCTTCCGAGGTAGAGCGGGTAGCGAAGAAATACATGAGAAAGGGAATCAGGCCATTTGAGTTACTACTCCCACGAACATGCTTCCAAGCAGTAACTACGGATGGGACAAACACAATACTATTGATCCAGGAAGATGATACCCATGTTAATAACCAGCTTGTGGTGTTTGAACCGACACCTGATGCGGATCCTTTTGGAGGCAGTAGGCCAAAGAGGAGTCGACATTAAAATCATAATAGTACCCTTCTTTCTGGCCTTTGCATTTCGTGAAATTTTTGTGCTGGTCGACGTGGATCTAGAAATTGATTTATTTCACGATATGGGTATCTACAGAAGACTAGAGCAAAACATACGTCCTCTTAAGGCTCTCAACCCCCCCAAATCTATTGTCAAAGAAGGTAGCAAGAAGTACTACAACAAGCACAAGTGGAAAGCAAGCTCGTTGTTCAAGACGTAGACCTCTCCCATGCATCTCTCGACGTAGGCTCAATTTTTCGTCCATCAAATCCTTGACATAAAGTCACATTTTCATTTACGAGGAAGTGAGACAGCATACAGAGAGGGTTTAGGACTGTTGCAGTGCTCGAACAACGAGCTATAAATACGTGCTCGTCACTATTAGCAGCAGACAATGCAGTAGGTTGCGAGACTCACATCCGACAATTCATAAGGAGACGCCCAGGAAGTGGCCGTCATAAAGTGGCCTGCCTCAGCTGACCAAGGCTGCACTGGAACTGCGCTCTGCTCATGCATCATACATAGCATAAGCGTCTTCAAACAGCCCATATTTTCTGAAGTTTGGCCATCGCTGCTCGGAAAATCCGTATGGTCTAGATGGGCTTGGTTAGTCTGGGGCTTTGGTTCGGGCGGACTGTTGCTCACCGATCTTCACCTCACCTTTCGGAGAAATCAAAATATTTCGTGCCGATATACGGGGGTGGTCGAGTTTCCTTGACCAGATAAATCGTATGCCCGCCAGAACCTATTAAATTAGTATTAACTTAGGATGGGGGATGTAGGGTTCAACTCGCTTGGCTGATAATATGTGGAGTTCGCACTCTGTGCCCGGAGGGAAGCACGTGAGTCGTGCCTTCCAATCTTCACAACCACCACAAGAAGCACGAAGGACGAAGGATCACACTTTCCTAATTAGGAAATAGACAGCTGTAGCTGCCCTCTGAGCTCAGCTTATTACACATATATATAGTAGACACGGTAGCTAGATCAATAAAACATGCATTCACGGATCACTGACTGAGGCCCTACCATTCTACGTTATAGATCGCTACTGACGCTGTAGTTCAACATAATATATGCTATCTCAGGTTCTGAGGGGCGGATGCCGCGTTGTAGGAGGGTTTTAAGAGAAAATCCAACATATTCGGTGATGGCAAAGATTTGATGATCAAACCAATATGCTTCACAAATTTCAACAAAATTTTGATGCCTGATAGAGAGGAGAGGGAACCAGTCTAATTCCGCAAGGGAGGAGACTGAGAAACTGCAAACATCATCGAAGTGCTTAATTACTCGCACTGTGGACCTATCATTGCAGAGAACTAGAAATTCCCACGAGTGGAGTTCGATAAATTTTTCGTAAAAGTCCCATGGACTGCAAACAAATGATGGAATAGCCCTCTCTCCTGCAGACCATAATTCTCTCTCAGTTCTCAACGATGGGTGAGGCTGCTCCGGAAACAAAACTCGACGCTTCCCAACAGGAGATGGCGTGGTCTCTGAACTATCAGCAAACTCTCTCTCTTGTCCTTCCCTCATACTAAGTGGCAAAGAGAAATTAGGAGGAACGAATAAATGCGAATTGCTGATGAGATTTAGAAGATAGAAGCAGGTTTGTGAGATGATGTAGCTCGTAGAGGCCTCAAGTATTCAGTTAGGAGGAGGAAGGGAAAAGGTAGCCATCGAGAATGATTTTTTTGGGGGGAAAGCAACTGTGAAATAGATTCTGAGACAATAAAACATAACATCTTCGGTATAGAAGACTATAGAAGGTAGCAGAACAACGGTGACTCATACCGCAACTTATCCTAGGTTCGCACTTTGGGATGCTTCTGCTTCTAGGTATTGCGAAATCCTTATGCCTGTCGACTTACCCTGGTTTAATTCACAAAGCCACAATCGTTTGTGCAACTTCACGATGACGTAGAGGGTCGGTACGTACCGGTACGTACTCTCGAGTGCCATCAAACTATAAACGGTGGATCATTGGGCGGTCCTCATAGTGGGGTGGAGCGATCGACAGGGGTTAACCGCCATGTTACGTCCACAATGGCATCCCAAACTTCAGTGGCACCACCCGATGGTCTCACCCGATGGTCTCAACCGACGGTATCGATCGTCTCTCACCACCCGATGGTCTCGATGAAAGGCATTTTCATATTTTAGCATTCTGCACGAAGCAGCATGCCAGGAGCTGCAGCAGCATCAAGGGAGTCGGGATGAGGTAACCATAAAATAAATACGACACACATAATAAAGCTATCAAAATTCAAACAGTGGGCTGGCTACATAATCTTGACAGGACATCCTATCTGCAAACGCCAGCCCTAGACCCTCTCCAAAGGTGCCAACCGTCGAACTCCCTCTAGTCTGATATAAACTCACTAAATAAGCAAACATCTCGTCATCCTCTGGAATATAGTCTTTGTTCTCGAATTTAACCATTAGAGTGTGTAATGTATCGCGGTGACACTCATTTTGGTGGGACTTTAGGTCGATGACTGTATTGAACTGCTGGCTGCACTGATCGAGCTTGCATCGTACCGGGTCGTGCGGATAAGTTCGTTTGCCGCTATAGCAGAGCTGATGTGCGTTAGGGTTACCAAGCTGCGGCAAGCCCTGCGACTGGCTCGTGTATATCTGGGGTTAATCAGCGTGGCGCAGAGAACAGGTGGAAGATGAATCGCAAATGTTTCAAGAGCTTGGGATTGGCCCAAAGACCTTACCTCCGAGGTCTGGGGAGTTACAAGGTGCATTGCTCTTAAGGTGTTGACTGTGGTAGCGGGGTTGACATTGTCCGTAGGAGTAATCAGAATGGTTGGAGGCGGAACGGGACATGGTTCGAACACCCTACGTTGAGGCTGTTCTTGGAAGTGGTTCATTGGAAAACACAGAATGCACTACCCTTGTTATAAAGGTATTGCTGAATTTGGCGAGTTGGAGCAACCCGTTCGAGCGAGACGGAGCGATCAATAGAAAAAATTTGACGGTAGGAGTAAGGGGTAATTGAAACGTATCTGTTTAAAACACATATCTTCCAAGACGGACATCACTCCATTATTTATAGGCTGCATAGGAGATGGAAGCCGATCCCTTCAGCCCCTGGAGCTGCAAACTCTGACCCTTAAAGTACCGTCGTCTCTATCACAAATCTGCCACAACATATGAAATAATATCATAAATGTAGTGTGCTTTCACGGATGGAAAATGACATCACTTGTATACAGGTTTATGCGTACGAAATATTGAACTTTTACGTCGGTCTTGGAGTTATCTACCATCCTCCATGAGCTTAGCCACTCGTGCATTCTCCGCACAAGGAATGCCCGCAATCCTGGCATTCATATGTCTTGCTAGTCACAGATCTCTTTTGGCACGAACAACAAAACGCAGTCCTCCTTTGCCTTGGGTTTCTTTGGACCCAGTCTTTTGTCGAGATCTTGTCCTCAATCCTTTTTTTCGTATTCTCTTTGTGTTTTTGAGCCATTCTAGCTTTCGTCGTCCATCTCAGTTGTGTGATCGGATATTTGTGTATTAGCCCGTTTTTGAATGTGTTCAGCTTCTTGAGGGTGTTCATCTTCTCAGTGTGGGTAATAGTTTCGCAGTTTCACAGTTTCACAGTCCGTTTCGCAGTCCGTTTCTCAGTTTGCAGTTCAGTTTACAGATTCCTATTAAACAGTCCGTCCAGTTTCGACCTCCTCAAAACTGCGAAACTGTTGGTTTATTAGTCAGTTTAAGACACTTTCATTACGCTTAAGAAATAAAGTGGAGTTTTTAGTTATTAAGCCCCTTTTCAGTTATTGAGCTTCACTTCTCACAGTCATTGATTCAAGATGTCTTCTCAACAGTCTTCCGCTGTATTGTCTGATCTTCTGAGTGATGATTTTGACGAGGAAGAATCGAAACCTTCTACTCCTACTTCTGGACACCAATCACGCTCACATTCACGGTCACGTAAACGACGCGCCCGTACGTCCTGGGTATGGGATCACGTTCCTGATACAGAAGAAGGGCGAGCTCGTATTTGGACTAATGATAGTGGCCGTTCTGTATGGAAGTGTAAGTTCTGCCCTCAGACTTATATGGAATCTGGAGGAACCAAAAACATTGCCCGACACCTAAAAGGTCATAATATCTACGAAGAACAGACACATTCTCTAGCTGTAGAAGCCACTATTCGCCATGCCTTCAAAAGAGGTGAAGAAGCATCACATTCACGCCGGCGCCTTAATTCTAATGATGGAACTGGAGATCAGCTGGACCCTGGAACTCTCGAACAACTCTTTGTGAAATGGGTTACCTCTTGCAATATCTCCTTCCGGATGGTGGAAAGAGATGAATTCCGGGCCCTTCTACAGTATCTAAATCCTAATATCAACACCTGGTTGCCTGCTACACACAACACAATTCACGGTTGGATTATGAGGACCTTTCAACAAGAAAAGGAATATACAAAACTCGCCCTTCAATCGGCACTGTCTTCCATCCACTTTACCTTGGATCTCTGGAGCTCACCAAACTCGCACGCCTTACTTGGTATCGTCAGTCATTTTACTGATGAACACGGGAAACTCCAGTCTTTAGTTCTGGGTCTTCCGGAGCTTCAGGGTGAACACAGTGGAGAGAACATGGCTTCAGTGTTTATAGACCTTTTAGAAGACTACCAAGTTACTTCGAAGGTTGGATATATGATGACGGACAATGCAGACAACAATGATACTATGATGGAGCACCTCTCTGCCGGTATACTTTATTTCCTTTATTGTTTTCCATCTTAAAGGTCCAAGTTATAGCTAATACTTATTTGGACAGCTCTTCAGGAACAACACAATCTCACCTACGATCCTCTTCATTACCGATTGCGATGCAATGGCCATATCATCAATCTAGCTGCTCAATCCTTTCTTTTCAATACTGAAACCGAAGTTCTAGCAGAACACAACAACGAGGGTCAATATTCTACACCAACTCAGCTGGAAATGGACAGTTGGAGAAAGAAGGGGCCACTGGGAAAGCTGCACAACCTCATTGTTTATATTCGCCGCAGCACACAGCGAATTCAACGATTTCGTACACAAACTGGAGGCTTGAGTTTAATCAGGGACAATTCTACTAGATGGAACTCTTGGTTTAAGATGATTGACTGCGCCTTGGATCCACTACGACGCGAAGCTATTGATGTCTTTGCAGCTAGAGACAAGTTAGAAAAGGACGCACTTTCAGAAACAGACTGGGGTTATTTGCAGAAGATTAGGGACTTTCTTCAGTATTTTGAGGACGCCACACTATCAACTGAAGGACACGTGGGCACATTAGACCGTGTTTTACCTACTATGGACTTTCTATTAGAGCATTTTGAGGCCGCAAAGATACAATATCAAGAGGATAGATACATGGCCCCATGTTGCAACTCTGGTTGGGCTAAACTAGACAAGTACTATGCTCTAACAGGTAGAACCCCGGTCTATATAGCAGCAACGGTACTGTGCCCGGCGTTTAAATGGGAGTACTTCGAATCTACTTGGGAGGATGTGTGGATCACTAGAGGAAAGGTTAAGATGCAGGAATTCTGGGAAGAAAAATACAAGTCCAAAGCTATTGTTCTTCCTCCACGAGCAAACACAGCAACAACGGTGCAGCATCAGCAGCGGGAAAATCAGTATCAGGCTTGGAGAAGGAAGAAAGCCAGTGTACAGACAGAGGTAGATGAGTATGCTAGGTATCTTCAAGCTCCCATCTTGTCAGAGGTCAAAGATGCACTTGCATGGTGGTTAGAACCTACGCAGCGGCTAATGTATCCTAATCTTTCTTTAATGGGCATTGATATTCTTTCAATTCCAGCTATGTCAGCAGAACCAGAAAGGCTATTTTCAGGTGCGTTGCTCACAGTTACTGATAGAAGGAATAACTTGGGGGCGGAGACTATCGAGGCTACAGAGTGTTTGAAATCTTGGATGTAATTTATATACAAACTGTCAGTTTATTAGTCAGTTTCACAGTCCGTCCAGTTTGACCACATACATATACAGTCCAGTCCAGTTTGCTCAATATTTAAACAGTCCAGTCCAGTTTAAGGCCTTGGACGGACTATTTGGACTATTACCCACACTGCATCTTCTCTCATGGCGGTTGTAGAGCTTCGCTTTCGAAGCTGGCTTGGGGCGAGCATCTGACTACTAACTTCTGCTGGTCCAGACTTTGCTTGCGTGGTTTGGTCGAGAGGCATGTTTATATGGATCTTAGTTATCGCCGCAAATTGACACTATCTACCCTATTGTCTTGTTAGCCCTTGGTACAGGAGAATATGAGGAACACGGTACATGAGCATCTGGGTAGAAACGTACATAGCTGAGTAGTGGCTCAAGTCAAAAGATTTGATCTGAGGTAGTCTGAATAATGAAGTCTGACTGCGTCGTCCGCGGAGATAAACTCAGCGTTATCGAGGAGCTGGGCAAGATGCTTGACTGTCATACGGAATTTTAATAAAAGCACAAAACATTAGAGGGTGCGGGCCATGTTAAATACCTGAGGCTACAGCAGCCCAGCTGTTGTCTGTATAAACAAAAGTATAATTGCAAAAAGGGTATAACATAACTACAAGAATCGTTTTGTCCTTGAGGACATCACCAAAGCCAACCACTACCTACACGACCAATCTAAACCCCGCCACCAAGTAGACCCAAACTAAAGAACCCCCCCCCCCCTTCCAAAACCCCATCTCCCACCCCGACTAGCTGTGACCGACTGTTTTGTTGGTCACCACCGATATACACCACCCCCCCCACCACGCTCCTAATACATGCAATCCCCGAACGCCAACCCGTTCCCCTCCTCGTTATACGTCCACATCTCATACAAACTCCCCGAACTGCTCGCCCACAGACTCCCAATCCCACTACTACTCCCCTCAAAACATTTCCATCTCCATCCTAGCGCCCATCCCCATACCGCCGGTGTACGATATCGACGTCGATGAAGGGGGGGAGAGTGGGAGGGAAGCGAGCGAGCAGACTGAGGATATTGAGGAACTTAGCGATAGCGGAGATGTGGCCGTGCTGCCGGTGTTGTGGGTTGTAGATGCGACTTTCCTCCCTTTCCCACGCCCCTTGATGCCTTTATTAGAGTTGCGATAGAGACTGCGGAAATACTCCAACAGCTCATCCTCCTCCCCCTCCTTCCCCCCCCTTCTCGCCTCGCTCTCCCCAAACCTCGCCGTTAGCGCCCCTAGCGTCTCGACGTGGAATTTATTCATATGACTCTTCAGATTCCCCAACTGCGAAAATAATTTCCCGCATTCGTCCAAGCGGCAGACATACTTCTTCGCTGCGTCGTGCACAGCGACGTGCGCGCGTACGTTGCTGCGCTGGGCAAATGTTTTCCCGCAGGTGGGACAGGCGAAGGGGCGTTCGCCAGTGTGCCGACGGAGGTGGGTTTTGAGGTTGCCGAGTTGGGAGAAGGTGTGCGTGCAGGAGGGGTAGTCGCATGTCTGTAGAAGGGGGTTAGTTGCGGTTCTGCTTTTGCTGCTGGATTTTGGTGATGCTTGAGGATGGGAAGGGGATAGGGTGGATGTGGGAGGACATACATATGACTTCTCACCTTTATGCGTCCTAATATGAACCTTCAAATTTGCCTTCTGGGAAAAGGCCTTCCGACACTCCCCAACAGTGTTTCCAGTAGTATTGCCCGTATACGGGAGGCTCTCGTATACGGGCCCGTATTATACTTAAGTATTCATATGACCCGTATCATAACACCTCTTCGCCGCTAGTATTATACTTAAGTATTGCTGGCCATACTTCAGTATTATACTGGCAATACTTAAGTATTTCACGTGATCCTTTCACAATTTTCAGGTCGTCGTGAAAACTCTGCATTCTATCCTTACGTCTTATGATTCAGCCTACATCATGGCTTCTGAACCTTCTGATGTTGTATCTACTATCGAAAGTGAACAATTTAATCAGTTTGAACAGGATACTACAACCTCATCAACTATTGGCTGCTCTATTCCGTCCCAATCTACCTCCCGTACTACGTCAAAGGTAGCTAAGCTACGCACATCACCGATATGGGACTTTACAAAAGTAGGACGTTATGAAATAACCTTCAATATCTACGGCAAGGAGTCCTGGTGTTGCAAGTTCTGTTCTAAGGAGTATACTGTTGGTGGGGGCACTAATATCATCATCAAGCACTTAAAGGAGCGCCATTCCATTGACTTGAAAACACCACAAGAGCAACGCATTGATGGATATCAATCCACAATAGCTGTAGCCTTTGCCAGGCCACACACAATCAATCATAAACGCCGTAGACTCAACGATGTCACTGCTGTTAGGCCTTTAGATCCACGTGTTCTTGAAGATCTCTATGTGCGCTGGATAGTAGCATGTGGAATTGCATTCCGAATGGTTTCAATCCCCGAGTTCCGCACGTAAGTAGTATTACCTTTCATGATTTAAGGCTTTTATTAATATATATATAGCATGCTTCACTATTTAAATCCAGCCATCAATGAATGGCTGCCTCATAGCTCGACAACAATTCACGATTGGGTCCTTCGTAAATATACAGAAGAGAAGGTCATCATTCGACAGGCTGTTCAAGCTGCCCTTACAAATATACACTTTACAGTGGACTTATGGACTTCTCCAAATTCCCTTGCAATCCTCGGCATTGTCGCTCACTATATATCAGCAACTGGTAATCTAGATAACTCTGTTCTTGCACTACGAGAAGTTAATGGCGAGCATTCTGGTGAGAACCAAGCTGTGGAAATTCTTGATGTTATCAACGACTATGGCATTGCTTCAAAAGTTGGTTATTTTGTAATGGACAATGCAACAAATAATGATACAATGATCAAGGAGCTTTCGAAAAAGCTGAAAGAGGAGCATGAGATAATATGGGACCCTAGGCGACATAGATTACGGTGTAACGGCCATGTGATCAACCTCGCTGTTCAAGCCTTTCTCTTTGCAAGTGATGAGGAGGACCTCTCACAGGATAATAATACGGAGCTATTGTCGTCGCCGACAGAAATAGAGATGGAGCAGTGGAGAAAGAAAGGTCCACTTGGTAAACTACATAACATTGTAGTTTATATCCAACGCAGCCCACAACGTATCGCCAGCTTTAAGTTGATGAGCAATAACCTATGTTTGTTGAGAGATAATTCAACACGTTGGAATAGCTGGTATTCAATGCTACAACGGGCGCTACGGGTACAACATGCTATAGAACTGTTCTGCGTAAAATTCAAGGAGAATGAGAATGACCTCCGTAAGTACATATTTATGTCTCTTAAATTTAATTATTTACTAATATTTAAGTAGTTTCACAAGGGGACTGGCAGGACCTTCGAAATATGGCCTGTATTCTCAAGAACTTTGCAGATGCAACACTTGCTACAGAAGGTTATGCCTCGAGCATTGATTTAACACTCCAATCGATGGACTTCTTACTTCACGTGTTTGAAACTGCGAAGAATGATTATGCAATGGACCCGTTCCTTGGTCCTTGTTGTAATGCTGGGTGGAAGAAGTTGGATAAATACTACAGTATGACAGACAGGACTTCGGCATATACAGCGGCGTTAGTATTATGCCCACAATGGAAGTGGACTTACTTCAAATCAGAATGGAAGGCTGATTGGGTTGCTGAAGCACGTGTCAAGGTTGAGGAGCTGTGGGTCAACAAATACAAAGCATTGGCAGTTAGTGCAGAGATCGCAGAAGTTGAAGGTGAAGATACTGAGAAGACGCTTTCGAATGAGTTTCTTACATGGCGTACACAAAAGCGGGGTATTGACGTTATTCAAGATGAATATACTCAGTATTTACAAGCCCCACTTGTTAAAACTGATGATGCGAGAGCATGGTGGGCTGAGCCTACTCAACGGGCTACATTTCCAAACTTAAGTGTAATGGCATTAGATTTGTTATCAATACCCTCAATGTCTGCAGCGCCTGAAAGGCTGTTCTCTGGTGCGAAAATCACGATTTCCGACCGTAGGAACAGGCTAGGTATTATGGCAATTCAAGCTGTTGAGTGCTTGAAGTCTTGGTTTAAGAAGAATAAGAGTACAGCTTTGCCGTTTGTAGATGATGAGCTGTCAACACTCCCAGATACATTGTTGCAAGAGGCAGCGATGACTATGATATCTAGCTAGTTCAATATGTTCTGAAATTCACAGGGTTATAGAGTATACAGTTTTTACAGCTTCAATTTTTTTTAACATTACATGAAATACTTAAGTATTGCCCGTATTAATACTTAAGTATTGATACAGAGCTCACTAGTATCATATCAAGCTTCACCCGTACCGTATTGATACGGCCCGTATCATAATGGCCCGAATACTTAAGTATTATACTAATGGGAACACTGCTCCCCAATATAGCATTTATACGACTTAATGGGATCCTCTCTAGCATCCGCACTCGCCCCACCTCCTCCCCTGCCGCTGTCGCTAGCGGGTATGGCTTGTATAGCGCGCATCAACGCATCAACATGCGTGCTCTGCGCCACCTCTTGCGTCTGCATCTGGGACTGCTTGAATCGTGTGATGGAAGCTCCTGTGGTAGCTTGGGCCTGAGCTGTGGTAGGCGTTTGGGCATGTGCCGCGAAGTTTCCTTGTCCCATGATGTCTCCTTAAGAAAGCACTCGCTAACCATTACGAGACAAAGACTCCAGGCACCAGACCAGCGAGCTCGATTCGGTTTGATAAGCACTACCCAATAGTAGAAAGAAACAATAATAGCGGTGAACCATGAAGAATACAGAAGGCGACACTTATTGACTCGTTTCAGCAGCTGCTTCTTATATATAGGGGACGGTATCCTTGTGTTAGGAGCTGACATGTTGACACGGAAACGTTAAAATGGGAAGCGCTACAATCGATGATTTCTGATGTTATTTCGAGTATATCGGTAACTGGGCTGGAATGACAGGGGTTGACTCAAATTTTGGAAACCTGAGTCAACCCCTGTCAAAGTAGTGTTGGTAACAAGGCAGCGACAGCTGTCCGCGATTGTTGTTGGCAACGGCCCTTCTTGAAGCAAACGGTAAATTACTTTACAAAGAACATGGATGAGGACAATCTGAGGGCAAGCTGTGGCGCTCATTCGTTCTATATCTCCTTACAGGACCAGAAAGATGTTGACGAAACGATTCCCCGGCCTGCTGGCCAAACAGTTTCAAGGGAACGGACAACTCAACTTCACCTCGCTGTTCGAGCTGCTGCTAGAGAAGGGCGCTGAGGTGAATACGAAGGATACAGAGTATGGCCGGACGCCGCTGTCCTTAGCTGCAGTGAATGGGCATGGGGCCGTTGTGCAGCAGCTGCTAGAGAAGGGCGCCGAGGTCAATACTAAGGATTGCAATAGCCAAACGCCGCTGTCCTTAGCTTCATGGGATGGTCACGAGGCCGTTGTGCAGCTGCTGCTAGGGAAGGGCGCTGAGGTCGATGTTAAGGATGTCAATAGCTGGACGCCGCTGTTCTTAGCTGCAAGGAATGGGCACGAGGCCGTTGTGCAGCTGCTGCTAGGGAAGGGCGCCGAGGTCGATGCCAAGGATGGCAATAGCCAGACGCCGCTGTCCTTGGCTGCAGGGAACGGGCACGAGGTTGTCGTGCAGCTGCTGCTAGGGAAGGGCGAGTCGTTGTACCCAGACTCGGACAATACATAGTGTCATCCAGGGGTAGGGAACGTGGTCCAGTTGCTTCGATGGGTAGTGGCTGGCCAATAATCAATGGTAACAAAGACCTACCATTCCCACTTATGCACTCGATGGCAGTCACCATCGTTCGCTGACGCCTACGCCTCTATAGCCTTGCGGATCGTCTTACTAACAAGGACTTCAACGGAGCTATGCATGCATAATATAACTCCCGTCTCGTCCATGTTGTAGACATTTTCCGACAGAATGAGTTGGATCCGAAGGCGGATGACAAAATAATCCAGACACTTGTCAAAAGTCGTAAGCGATAGCAAGAAACGAAATTCAGTACGGAGTACGCATTCGAACGCTGCTGCCTAGTTGTTCCTTATCATGCCTGAGGCCACTCACGTGAGTAAAAACACAGCCACGCTGCCTTGCCACATAACGACATAAGCGAGTTCACATTGTACTGTAAGACGTGGGGGTCACTTTACAGTAACTGGAAACCACTGGTCCTTTGACTTGAGGTAATCATTTCCATGGCAACAATGCATGAATGTGCCCCGCACTGGCACCACATGGCTGATGACGATCTCCTGCTTGGCTGTGAGGGTTCAAGAGCTCAGGTGCAATCCCTTTATATGTTTTGGGAATAGTAAGAGTTTAGTGGTGGAGCAATGGTGGGGAACTCTATTTCGCAATAAAAGCATGCCCTCTACAAATCAGGTGTAATAGTGACAACGCAAACATAATTTTCTTAAAAAGAGCAGTCTGGGTGTTCAGGAGTAGCTATAGAATACGATTTATGTAGTAATGTAAGAGATATTGATGAGTGTGTAGAACTTGAGATGCCCAAAGTCAAAGTACCTATCATTTTTTTTGGGACGGTGGTTTTTTCGGCACCCAGGGACAGACGTTACGGATGTTACTACATGATTGCTACAGATGTGAAGAATGTTCTCGCGGCTGTCTCAAATTCGTAAACTATTTCTACGTACCCCACGAGAAGAGCCCTCCTGAGGTTGCCATACCAAACCTGCGGCTAACCTGGATTTGATTGTCCGATAGCCCCTCAGCCGATGGTTCTCCCACCATATTCTCTAACTTGGCGTTCTCTGCTTTCACCCAGTCTGAAATATCTGCGCAAGCCTTCTCAGGGTCACGTCTCTGTAAGAGAAATCCTTGAATCTGAGCAGGGCTAAATTTCTTATCATCGATATGTTCCGCGAATTTCATTGCGAGATCTCTCACCTCCTCTATCGATTTGGCAGGGTGCAGCGTATTGGCAGGCGTTTTGGCAGTGAGCGACGAGCACATGCGAATGAACATGTTTTTAGCAGTATCCTTACTGGCATTGCCAAAGTATTCCTCTATGTCCACGCGGCCGGGTCTCAGAATTGCGTCATCTAGTTTGGAGCGACAGTTGGTGGTCATAATAAGGATATGCCCTTGGGATGATGCAATACCATCGATGGCGTTCAGAAACCCCGCAAGAGTGATTCTGGACTTGAAATTGTCATTGCTGTCGGGCGTGTCGTCGCGAGTGAGGCCAGCTGAATCGATATCCTCTATCAATAAGATGGAGCCTTTTCGCAGATTTGCCACCAGGTCTATAAGCAGTTCATCATCTACCTCGGAGCTGTTCAAATTGACCTTATGGATATCAGCTTTGAGATGGCCTGCTAATGCACTTGCGAAGGATGTTTTGCCCGTTCCAGGAGGGCCATGGAACAAATAACCACGGCGGTATGGCACCCCTGAAGCTGTATACATATCCGAACTATTCAAATAGTCTTCCATGTCCTTTATAATGCACTCCTTCTGTCCAGAATTGGTCCAGGTCGAAAGACGTCGATTGTAAAACTCCGATGGCTTGCGAATCGTGGTCGTGGTCATAGTAGCACACTGAGTGTAGTGAACAAGTCGAATGTGGTCAATTAGATCTCTGCATGGCTGAGGAGACGTACTGAAGCATCGGAGCGTGATGACTTCTTTTTCAGCAGCAGCTTTCATTCCATCCCCCTTGCCTGCGATAGTATCGCGTCTAAAAGAGATGCGGTGACCTTTGTGACGGAGATAGAAGGTGCTTCCAATAGCTGGGGTGACTTGAATAGCTGGCATGCGTAAATGCCGATGTTCCTCTTCTGGCCCAATGTCTAGATTCCAGTCTTTTCCCAAAACCGTCCTAACTGACAGTGTCTTCGAGTGTTTCTCTGGCTTTTGCTCTGAGATCCACGACATGACTTGATCATACAAATCGTCACCCTGGTCGACCGAGACAGAAGACCAAAAGTGCTTCTCGATGAAGTTGAAAACCCGCCCATAGTATCCAGATACAATGAACAGGAAGAAGAGTCCCATAATGGCATTCATATCACGTCCAAGTTTATCAAGGAACAGAGCCTGAAATGGGTGCCAAGGGAATGCGAGCATCTCGAGCAGTTGGGTTGCGTTTATCTGTGCCATGGCGCAGAAAGTAATTGCGACTACTCTTGAAAACTGGGCGGAGGAGGAGTAATAAGTACGTTGAAAGGCTGTTCCTGCTAATTACACGCAGCCTTTTCGGAGAAAAATCACAAAACCCAGTCACACTGCAACTGATTCGGTGGAGCATCTTCCCAGATAAGTCACGAACTCAACCAAATCGAGGCAGCCGGTGTGTATAAGCTGATGTTGTTGAAGAAAAGGCTGACCGCTTCATGATGCGGATGAGGCTGGAAGTGGACGAGGGCTAGTGCGAGACACGGCTGTGATTCTGGCCCTAGGAATCAGGCAGAATCAGGCAACTACATTTAGTGAAACGTAGTCATATTAGTGTAGTTTCGTACGGTAGAGTAGCTTAGGGGCGACGGCATAAGTAAAGTGTAACGCTGACTTCTAAACGATAGAAGACACAGAGGTTCTCTTGCGTAAAGGTTGACTTATCAGAGGAGGCAGGGGATCAGACACAAAGGCTTCAAGTAACACGTTACTAGTATATAACAAATACTGCATTGAGTTGAGCACGAAGCTCCTATCTAAGGAAATCCTATCTACTTATATAGTGGCGTCGTGCCTAGTGGACTCCTGGGAACTGTCATACTGACATTCGTTGCACTCAGTTTGCTATCAAACTCAAGAGCAAACTTAGAAATCTCCTCCTCAAACCTACAAGTCACCATACATATCTTGGCTTATCACACCAACAACAGAAGCAATACTACTCAACGATTGCTGCAAACTCTTCTACTACATCTGTTTATGCTACATACATCACGGCATATCATTTGGACACTCATTGAACAAGTTATTAAGAAAATCTCCTCCTTAAGGGGGTGGGCCAATACTACCACATGGCATATCTCTACCAACCAGAGGCCTAGGAACATGAACGATAGCTCTAGAAGCTTCTACAACCCTCTATGATTCATTACACGTCATCGCTCCTTAGTTACCCACAAGATTGGTTAAGTTATGACATAATTTGTCTATAGGTACTCTGACCTTGGACCTCCTTTTCACTTCCTATAGGCTAGGAACCCAAGAGATGGTTCTATGGGATTCTCTTACGTTCACTACATGATTAGCAAGCTAGTTGTGGGTCGCACTTGATTTCTAATACATTTACCAAGCCTGGTTAGTCATGGAAAGTCATGGAAAATGAGAGAACTACACTCCTTTGGCATAAATAGGATTGCCCTTTCCTTAAGAAAGGGCAAGCATACAATACAGTAAATCGACTATCACATACTTCCACGTCTTTTACAAGCTTCCAAGCATTCATCTTGTTACTCCTTGTTTCTGAAAAGTCAGTGAGGTGTTAACCTCTGACTTACCCCTGAGTTCCCAGACTCAACATTTGTTGCAACTTGTCTAAACCACTTCACTACATCACACACCTGATTGCTGCGTTGTGGAATAGTCTAAGCTACAACCCTTTGGCTCTGTTTCCTAAGACAGTGTGTTGTCTTAGTAAATTCATCCCTTCCTTGGGTGGCTAGATTCTCACATCTGGTGCACCCACCATTACACCCTGAGTTCCCAGACTCAACATTTGTTGCAACTTGTCTGAACCACTTCACTACATCACACACCTGATTGCTGCGTTGTGGAATAGTCTAAGCTACAACCCTTTGGCTCTGTTTCCTAAGACAGTGTGTTGTCTTAGTAAATTCATCCCTTCCTTGGGTGGCTAGATTCTCATATCTGGTGCACCCATCATTACACCTTGCCTGCTTCAAGCTTCAACTATTTCTATAGCAGCACTTCGATACTACAATGGAGGACGACCAAGCTCCTACAACTACTGCTGAACAGCAGATGCAACAACTGTTTGCCTTTATACAAACTATAGCAAACAAACTTGAGAATTTGGAAAACACCTTTCAAGCCAACACTTCAGCAACACAATCTTCAACTCAGACACATCATACAGAGCTTCCCACAGCTCCTCTGGCTATTTCGAGTACCCCAGGTGCACTTCCTAAAGTGCAAACACCAGATTTATACCATGGAGACAGGAGGAAGTTGAAGGGATTCCTTATGCAACTGGACATCTACTTCACCCTCAGGCCTCATCAGTTCACCTCAGACATTCAGAAGATCTATTTTGCTGCCAGCTACCTCCGTGGATCTGCATTCAACTTCTTTGAGCCATATCTTAGAAGACTTAGTGGCAACAAAAATACCACTACACCTTTGATTACCTCTTATGACCAGTTTCAAGAGGAACTTACCAGGACCTTTGGAGACATCAACGAAACTTCTACAGCAGAAAGAGAGCTACAGAAGCTATGTCAAAAGACCTCTGCTGCTCAGTATACAACAGAATTTAGGAGAATCACTTCTCAATTGACTTGGAATGAAGAAGCCTTAGTCTTCACTTACTACCAAGGGCTCAAGAGCTCTATTAAGGACGAACTCAGCAAAGAAGAACGCCCTACAACACTTCAAACGCTTATAGAGAAAGCTGTCAGACTTGATGATAGGCTTTTTGAAAGAAGAAAGGAGAAGAACCAAGACTGGCATCCAACAAGAAATTTCAACAATTACACCTCTACACCAACTGCTAAGGACTCAGCACCTGAACCTATGGACTTAGACGCCTCTATAAAGAGATCTACAGCAAATCCAGCACCTCAGCCTACAGGATACCCTCAAAAACTGAAAAGGGGTAAACTTACCCCTCAAGAAAGAAAACACAGAATGGACAACAACCTTTGTTTATACTGTGGCAAAGGGGGACACAGAATTCAGGAGTGCTATTCAGCACGGGGGAGTGCTGATTCAAAACATATAGCAGCCTCAGACACAGTCACAACTGCTATTCCTGAAAAACTTGAAAAATCCCTAGCAGGCACAACTTCAACTGAGACTATAACTTCTCCCCTAGACAACAAAGATGTGTCGATGGTGCTTTCTCAGAGTCTCACACACCTGTTAATCCCTATTCAACTCCATTTCAAACAACAGGTGTTGTCTACAAGGGCTATGATAGACTCAGGGGCAACAGGCAACTTTATATCTCAAGACCTCATCTTGACACACCAGTTACCTACAATTCCCAAACGCACTCCAGAGTTGCTCCGAGTCATTGATGGAACTCCTATCAGTTCAGGTTCCATTACCTGCAACACCCCAGTACTCAAACTTGAGATTCCCCTAGGAAAATCAACATTTTCAGACACCATCTCTTTAGATGTTATACCAATGAAGTACCCAGTTATCCTAGGTCTTCCATGGCTTCAAAGGCATGATCCAACTATCAATTGGAAGCATTTATCGCTTGGGTTTAGCTCAAATCCTGAGCTCAATACTGAAAAAACCCTTCAAGCCTCAGTTACCCCTATTCAGGTCCAAGACTCAAACTTGTCCCAGATCAAGGATTTTGACCAAACAATGGACGATATATCATCTCTGATATGGGTTAAACCTTTCCAACCTGTCCTGGAGATAGCAGCTACTTCAGATTTGGAGAAATCATCTCAGGAGGTCATTTTGCCTTTAGCATACCAAGACTACCAACATCTTTTTGACAAGGCAAAGGCATCAATTCTGCCAAAGCACCAGCCTTATGACCATGAGATACCACTCGCAGAAGGCTCAATGCCTCCCTACGGCCCTATCTCCTCTCTATCTGAATTAGAGCTGAAAACTCTCAGAGAATACCTAGATGAGAACCTTAGTTCTGGCTTTATCAGACCTTCTTCCTCACCAGCAGGAGCTCCCATTCTCTTTGTCAAGAAGAAAGATGGCTCCTTGCGTCTCTGTGTTGATTATAGGGGCCTCAATGCAGTCACTGTTAAAAACAGATATGCTTTACCCCTTATCCCTGAGCTCATAGATAGGCTCTCTTCAGCAAGGATCTTTACCAAGTTAGATCTCAGGGGAGCTTATAACCTGATACGCATCAAGGAAGGTGATGAGTGGAAGACAGCATTCAGAACACGCTATGGTCATTTTGAATACCAGGTAATGCCTTTTGGGCTTGCCAATGCACCTGCTTCTTTCCAAGCTCTCATGAATGATATTCTAAGACCTTACTTGGATATCTTTGTTGTTGTCTACTTAGACGACATTCTTATATACTCTCTAGACACTCAAGAGCATGTTCTACATGTTAGACAAGTCTTAGAGAAGCTATCTCAAGCACAACTCTTTTGCAAACTTGAGAAATGTCTTTTCCATATGTCTCAAGTTGATTTCTTGGGACATAGAATTTCAACAGAAGGCATTCAAATGGACCCTGAAAAGACAAAAGCAGTACAAACGTGGCCTATTCCTTCCAGCATTAAAGAGGTTCAGTCTTTCCTTGGGTTTGCCAACTATTACAGGAGGTTTATACCAAGATATACATCCTTGGCTTTACCCCTTACTCAATTACTTCACAAGGACACTTTGTATCACTGGGATAAGACACAGCAAGATGCTTTCGATGCTCTTAAAGGAGAATTTAAAGAAGGGAAAATGTTACTACACTTTAACCCCTTGAAACCTGCCACTCTTGAGACAGATGCCTCAGATTTTGCTATTTCTGGAATCTTATACCAAGCTCCAAAAGACAAACAAGAAGAGCTACAGCCTGTGGCATTTTACTCAAGAAAGCTATCAGCAGCTGAACAAAACTATCCCATTACAGACAAGGAACTGCTTGCCATAGTATGTTCTCTAAAGCATTGGAGATGCTACCTTGAAGGGGCAAACTATCCTATCACTATTTACAGTGACCATTCAAACCTCTTGACCTTTACAACCACTAAACAGCTCAATAGACGACAAGCAAGGTGGTCTGAACAACTAGGAGGTTTTGACTTTGTTATAAAACATGTCTCAGGGGCCAAGAATCAAAGAGCAGATCTCCTCTCAAGAAGACATGACTACCAAGATTCTGCTAAAACTAGCAATACAAAGGCTCTGCTAGACTCAGCAAAGCTTATAGCAGCATCTTTAAGCAACCCTAGTACTACAGAGGACTTAGAGGGAAACTT